TTTAACCCAACAGTTGGGTTAGTCCATATTTGACCCAACATTGGGTTGAAACAACCCAGCATTTTTTAGAGTGCAGTATAACAAAACTATTATATATCTCTTCATTGTGTTTGGGTCCCCCTGGACGAGCGAACATAGGCACGTGCCTAGAATGCCTATGCTAAATCTGGCCCTGCATATGATTTAAGCCCCATTCACACCAAGAACGATAACTATAAAGATAACGATATTAGCGTCCACACCAGCGAACGATATCGTCTGTTTATTCTAAGCCACACTCATCTGCCGCTTTAAATTCTCCAGCTCGTTACAGCAGGATGGATTCTGATTGGCTGTCAACTTTTTTTATCGTTCATCAGCTGGAAAAAAATCGTTTTGAAAGTGATTCCAACGATATCGTTTCTCTTTGTCTTTATCGTTATAGTTGTGGTGTGGACTCTGCTATTCTTTAATATTGAGAACAATTTTTAGAACTATATGGACCACAAAACCAGTCTTAAGTGTCAATTTTTAAAAACTGAGATGTATACATAATCTGAAAGCTGAATAAATAAGCTTTCCATTGATGTATGGTTTGTTAGGATAGGACAATATTTGGTCAGATACAACTATTTAAAAATCTGGAATCTGAGGGTGCAAAAAAAAATGCATATTGCTAATCAAAAATTAAGTTTTGATTTATTTACGGTAGGAAATTTACAAAATATCTTCATGGAACATGATTTTTGGCATAAAAGAAAAATCTATAATTGATACAATGTATTTTTGGCTATTGCTACAAATATACCCCAGCGACTTAAGCCTGTTTTTGTGCTGCAGGGTCACATATCTTTATAGTTAACGTCCTTGGTGTGAACGGGCCTTAATAATGAATGAATATGTGTTTTTGTTGTTAGGTTAATTATATATGAAAAGCGTCTGCAAAACATTACTAGACGGTGGAGGAACACAGTAGTTTGGTTTGATTTGATAGCTCTGTGATTACCAGATGTAATTAAACTTACAGTACATTGAGAAGAGCATCACAGTAGTGAAGCAGAAGTAGTGTGCACCATGCTGTTACTTTGTCAACACCAATGCTATTTGTGGTAAAGAATTAGACATTTTATTTAGTGTATGTATTTTTGTAAGAAATGTCCCAGACTATCTGAGCACACTGAGAAGGCTTATTACAGAGCACTCCTTCAAACTTCGACAAATATTTGTCTGGATCCTGCACATCAAGACATTGGCAAAAAAAGCACGGCTGTGTGATAAGAATGTTTGCTTTTAGAAATCAAAAGGGTTTTGACACTTACGGTATCTAAAGGTAAGTCTTGTAATTTAGACACTTGCTTTGCTCTTTGCTCTTATTGTTACTTTCTATTATTTATCACAGTCAATTCTACAAAAGTGGTTACAGTTTATATGTGGTTTAGGGAGTTCTGGGTCATTGCTATAAGGTTTCTTACTGGTCTAGATGATAAAGTGTTGAATATTATATTAATAAAAACACAAAAATCCAAAAAATAGCCAGTCTTAAACAAGCTTGTTTGCTGGTGACCATCTGAAAAGTGGCCAAAACCCCTCTAAAATCACTCAAAATTTCAGGGAGACTAACTTATAGGGTTACTCCACCCCAAAATGAAAATTTTGTCATTAATCACTTACCCCCATGACGTTCCAAACCCCTAAAAGCTTTGTTCGTCTTCGGAACACAGTTTCAGGAGGCTTGTGACTGTCCCATTGACTGCCAAGTAAATAACACTGTCAAGGCCCAGAAAAGTATGAAAGACTTCGTCAAAATAGTCCATCTGCCATCAGTGGTTCAGTCTGACTTTTATGAAGCGAGGAGAATACTTTTTGTACGCAAAGAAAACAAAAATAACGACTTGATTCAACAATTCATCTCCTCCGCGTCACGCTAGCGCCATTTTTGAGAATATCCACTGAACGCGAAGAGCGTATTCTATTCTGTGTCTGCCGCACCACACAGATACATTTTCTACATTTATTTACGCTTTGATTTGAACGAAAACAGCATATCTGTGTGGTGCGTCTGACAACGAACAGCGTACGCAGTTTGCGTTCAGTGGATATTCTCAAAAATGGAGCTAGGGTGACGCGGAGGAGATGAATTGTTGAATCAAGTCGTTATTTTTGTTTTACTTTGCGTATAAAAAGTATTCTCGTCACTTCATAACGTTATGGTTGAACCACTGATGGCAGATGGACTATTCTTACGTTGTCTTTCATACTTTTCTGGACCTTGACAGTGTTATTTACTTGGCAGTCAATGGGACAGTCACAAGCCTCCTGGTTTTCACCCAAAATATCTTCAACTTTGTTCCGAAGACAAACGAAGCTTTTACGGGTTTGGAACGACATGGGGGTAAGTCATTAATGACAAAATTTTTCACCAATCAGTTTAGGTTGGTAGTGTGTTTTATTTTTATTTAATTTAATTGTTCCAGGTTTTTTTCAGCAAGGTGTTTCTATATACTGCAAATCTATTAGTTTTTTTTTTGCTTGTGCTAAAAATGGTATGAAATTGCACTTTTACAGCACTCAGACTGGCAATGTGAATGGTTTTCTGGAGTTTTATCTGTAATTCAGCTTTGGTAATATTTGGATATTGCGTCTTGTGTATTTTCGGTGCACTAGAAAACACCGCGTAATGGATATAGGACAAAATTTATTTATGAATGATCAATCATTACATACATAGAGCAGTATAAAATTACATTTACATTAATATTGTAAATAATTGTGCAATGAACAGGAAGACATTGTTGAGATGAAACTGCATCTTAACAGATTAGGCAGCAGTTCAAGAACTTGTATGAACCGCATCTTTGTGCTCTGCCGTTTGTCTAACTCACACTAACATCAGGTGGAGTGAGTCACCAAGCACCATACAATTAATACATTTGCATTCGTTTCTGTCGACAGCCCGTTGAGGGTTTGTGCTTGGACGTGTTTACTTTGCTATGATAACGGTAGCGTCGGTGGTCTGGGTGGTCTCCTCATCCGAATCGCTCTCCTGGCTCTCTGTGCTCTGTGAGGAGTCGTCCTCGCTGTCTGCAGCTCCAGGCGTGGCTGTGGTCTCCTCGCTGCTCGGGCTGCTATCTGACTCCTCTTCATTTTGCTCCTGGCTGGCACTGGCACTTGTGCTGTCGTTGGGAGTGTCGCCAGCACTTGCCCCCTCGCTGTCTGACTCTGCTGTAGCATCCTGGTTTCCAGTGGGAACGATATCTTGGCTTCCCAGAGCAACCTGGCGGTCGTTTGGCTCCATGTTCTGCACCTCTGGGGTGCTGGTGTCCTCCTCCTCCAGAAGAGTATCATGCACCTGCAGAGCCTGAGAAACAAAAGAACGTCTCAGCTACAGTGATAATGGTTTTATTATATCAATCATTTATTAATTTGATTTTGAGGTATCATTTAGGTTTATTATAACCCTGTAATCATGGTTGGGGAAGCTACTTTGAAAGTATAATTTTTTTATTAAGTTATAATAATAAAAAAAATTACAATCAAGCTTAAAAAAGCTAAGCAAAAAAAATATAAAAAATTACTTACCAGTTACTTAGAAGGTCAATATGTTTTTATATAAAAAAAAAAATCAGAGCCATATTTTTGCTTATTCTACAACAATGACGGTTTTTAAGTGGATGAACAGTCTCACTTAGGATGGCAAAGTATCAAGCTACCGAGTCAAAAACAAGAGTAACGCTAATGCTGTAGAACAGGGAGTCGAATTGGTGAATCATTTTTGTGAACATGTTCGTTTAAGCGAATCTTCCGAGTGAATCGATTCACTAGAATGAACTGGATTTTCCAATACTACATAACAAAGAGAACCGTTTAGGGTGAATCGATTCCCAAGAACAAATCGGACCGTCCATTGCTAAATTCTACATACTGTACAGTATGAGAGAGAACCGTTTAAGATGAATCGATTCACTAAATTGATTCGAACATACCTTGCCATACTAGAGAGAGAGAGAGAGAGAGAGAGAGAGAGAGAGAGAGAACAGTTGAGGTAAATGCGTTTGATTATTCTCTCAAAAACAGCTTTGAGTTTCCTTGTTGAAAAAAACAGCATCTGCTGGTTAGGTATGTTTTGACGCTGGGATGCTGGTTTATGCTGGTCCTCTGCTGGTTTAAGCTGGTCCTTTGCTGGTTTATGCTGGTCCTTTGCCAGCACATGACTAGCATAAACCAGCAAAGGACCAGCATAAACCAGCATCCCAGCGTCAAAACATACCTAACCAGCATATGCTGGTTTTTTCAACAGGGTTGGTTGCTAAATAAAGATTTTACTGGAAACACTAAACTATTATGAACATAGCCGAACTTCTGGCACGCTTAGTAAAGTTAGTAGCATCAGTAGCAACTTAGTCACAACCGAACACTTGCCCCAATTACAGGAAAGGACGTGATGTGTGGCCAAGTATGGTGACCCATTCTCGGAATATGTCCGACTCTCTAACCATTAGGCCATGATTGCCCACATACTAGTACCATAATACCAAGGTTCTGCCACAGTACTTTCTTGTACTGTAAGTGTTCTTAACATTTGCTATACATGCATGTTTTGCTATCCTATTCTATTACTTGTCAACCTTCACAAACATAAAGTAACCTTACTATTTACCTTGTACAGTTTAATCTCTTTCTCCACATCATTGATGCTCTGGTCAGAGGACTTCTTGCTCACAAATGTCAAGCCGCCCAACTTGTCACTGCTGTAGGACTTGTATGGGGAAGGTAATTTTTCAAAGTTGTTTGCATCCACGTAGACAATGTTTTTTTTGTAGTCGCTAGGGTAGCCCATGCTGTCTCCCCGGCCTGTGTTGATGATGGGGTCCAGTGAGGGTTCTACTGTGGAGGGGACAACGGTGATCGCAGATTCTCCAGATTCACTCTCACTGGAATCAGTATCCTAAGTGGACAATATATGTTAATGAGCAATATAATTGACAATATAACATTCTGTAGCTTTACTGCTAGCATGAGTGATTCGATTGTTTCGGCATCAAGCTGGGTAGCACATTGTGAAATCTCACTGGTCCAAAATCCTACTTCTTGTAATTGTATGTTAAATATCAAATATGTTGTCAGTCACTGTCGAATCCTGCTGCAGTTTTGTGTGTAGATAGGATAAATCACCTAATATTGCAATGGGAATGGAACCCATGACCTTGGTGTTGCTAGCAAACATGCTCTACTGTTTAAGCTACAGGAAGTCTGCCACTTGATGCCTTATATCAATGCTGGGTTTTATACCAGTTGAAAACCATAGGTTTAGTCCATTGTTTGGCAACTGGGCACAATGGTTCTACATGACAGAAAACATAAGTATTTTAGCATAATCAGAGTGACTCACATTCTCATCTTCCCTCTCATCTGTTTCAGATTCCTCATCTGCATCCTGCAAATGCAATAAACAGTATTGAGACTCACAGCAGGGTCACTTACAGTGCGTCTAGACCAGCGGAAGGGTATTTTTAGATCCTGTTGTCTTTTTATTGGCTATAGTGGGAGTGCAGTGATGTGTGATGTGGTGAGAGGATGAGTTTTCATTTACCTCACTGTCATCTGCACTGTCTGTGCTTTCATTGGATTCAGCTGGCGTGGTCTGAAACACAACCAAATGCCTTGGCATAAATACAATAATACTCTCTGTATTGCTCATGTACGTGACAATTACCACGTCCTTGAATTTAAATAGCTCATAGGTGCCAGTTTATATCTGTATTTTGAGATTAAAGGAAAAGTTCACCCAGTTTACTAGAGTTCACCCATCATTTATTCACCCTTGCATTTATCCAAACCTGTGCAACTTCCTTTCTTTAGTGGAATACAAAAGGATAGTTTTTAAATATGTACTGGTTGACCCATGCAATGACATTGAAAAGTACCATAAAATTATTAATAAAAGTGGTTCACCTTGAGAACAGTTCAAAAATAAGCCCATTCATGAACGAATCATTTAGACAATTTGCTACTTCTGTCATGAACTCTCATACACAGCTAAGTGAACTCGGGCAGATGTCAAGATTTTTAGTAAATAATGACTATCATTTCTATTTGTTCCTCATTTTGCAGCTTAACAGCCCAGTCTTCATTATAATGAAAATATATATATATATTGATAGAATTTTCATATCTGGAGTGAACTATTAATTTGTTTTACCTGTGTAGGTTCTGCCTTGAACATAACAGCAGCAGCTTTTTGCAGAATAGGAGGTGGCTGTATAAGACAGATGTTTTATTAAAATCGCAATATTGTTTTCTGCACTGTATTAATTTCAAAGCAGCGTCCATTCTGTCCATATCAAACAAGATACTTGCCCGTTGAACAACCACAAGTTCTTCTGAGCTCTCTGAACTGCTAGCTGAGCGCTTCACCTGAGAAATGAAAAATATAAATGTGAGTGTACAAGGAGACAAAAAATGGTAGTGTAAAACTTTAAAGCCCGGATTTTTACGGTTATAATGACAGTGAACTTACAGGCAGACAGAAGACTGTGGCGATGAGGAGCGTTAAAACGATAACAGTCTTCATTTTTGTGCAAAATACTCTTAAAAAAAAACAAAAAAAAAAGGGAGAAGAAAAATAAAAAGACCTTCAAAGGTGAGCCACAGTTATAAAGAACATCAATTTTGACCTTATAAATGTAAGGCTGATGCAGCCTACACCAGCTAATGCATGGCAATAAGACCATTTTTACAGAGAGGATTGCCTGTGCTATTTTACTTTAATGTTCTATAAAATGCCTCAAGTGGGTATTTTTGGTATTTACGCATTTATCGACTCGGAAGGAAGCATGCCTTTTGAGGGTGCTCTGAAACATGTTGGCAAATGCCAAAAGACTTCCTGCCAGTCCTCACCATGAAACATCTCGTTTGTTTTCAGCTACAACTACATTGCATAAAGTATAAGTTGAGGTATTGTGTGTTTAGCCATACCTATAATGATCTCCTCTGGTGTATAATTCCAGAAGTTATATGTAGACTATGTAGCAGCCACAATCCCAAGAAATAGCACGCCTCTGGCTCCAGACTTACTTTCTCATTAGAATCTTCAATGTTGTGAGCCAAGGCCTAAAATTTGTGGCGTCAAAGGAAATGTGAAGTGCAGCGCAGAACACTAAGTGTGGAAGTGTTTTGTTGGGGCTGCAGGCAGAAGTAATGGTGTCAGTCAGCCAGTATTATTATTCTTTTGTATGGAACTTTAATTTAGTGGTTGTGTCGCTGGAATAAATGAGTCAGTTGACAAATTAGTAAGGCCTTTATGTGCCATAGCCACAACTTCCTCTTTCATCTGTCAAGTTCATGTTAATCATGTCTCCCTATAATAAACTGTGGTTGGAATCATTAAAAGTCTTCATAACATCAGTCTTGAATTTACATTGAGGCTGAACAAGAACTGCATTCTTTTGTAAGAACTGCATTTGATGTATGAAATATTTGTCATGATTAAAGGTTAAAATAGGCTGTAGCTGATCTCAAGCCACTACTACTCCTACATCTGCTGTAAATACAGATAAACGCCTGACGAACCTAAAATGTTGCAGACTACGAGCAAGTAAAGGCATTCCAGTTACTCAAAGCTTCTTCCAACATATGCATACTTACTATAAAACCTTTGACGACAATTGTTTTTTAACCTTAACATCCTAAAAATACAAATTAATTGTTGTGACCTACCTCTTTCTCTTTGAGAAATTTGAAGTTCTTTGACAAAGTCAGAGGACTGACTGAGGTCCGTTTATCAGATGAGGTCTTGCTGTGTTTTGATGCTAGTGAGAGATGGCTGCTGGTTGGCTTTTTAAACCATGTTCCCTCTGGAAACAGCCAATGGCAGTGAAGCTTGTGATGTCATGAGGTTTACCGCTGCTGTCCCACCTTGTGCTCCCACTCTTCCTGTGGTTTATGTGGCCAGGCAATGCAAACATTCACCACCAGGCATGACAAGCAGAAAAAATAAAACACATCCTGTATTGCGCTTAGGATCCTAGATATAATGTTGTCATGCTTATTATCAATAAAATATTATGCATTTACAATGGAAAGACTCAATGTCCACTTTCACTGTTATTATATCGTAAAACAGGGCAAATAAATATTTAATGGCTTCAACTCAGGGGTTTAATGCCTCTGGCTGTAAAGCAGAATGAAGTGTTATGTGTGTAATCAGTTCAAACTTTAGTAGAACAGTGTGTCACAAAAAGTTTAATTTACATATATTAAAAGTCTAAATTTAGTCATGTTTGCTGGGCATTATTACTTTTAATTTTATGCAGGGGTTCAAATTCCCTTTGTGCTACGAACATGATTGATCACCTCAAATTGTATGGCTTGTTGAGGAAATGAGTTGAATTTTTAAATTAATAAAAAGATAATCAGTCAATAACTGAATTACTCATATATCTGCACTGAATGACAGCAGCATGTAAATAAACATTAGAATGAATAGTACCGAATAGCCATTCACTGTATGTTATTATTATCATGTTACAAGCCAATGTTAACTTTTTAAAATATTTGTGGGTGTGGGTGTGTGTGTGTGTGTGTGTGTGTGTGTGTGTGTGTGTGTG